CCAACGCATCATCCTCCGACACTTCCGCCATCTGCAATCCGACCCCATTACCAAAGACATCTTTCCCTCCCCACCCTTATCTGCTTTCCGGAGGGACCACTCTCTCCGTGACTCCCTTGTCCGCTCCACACTCCCCTCCAGCCCCACCACACCCGGCACTTTTCCCTGCAACCGCAGGAAGTGCTACACCTGCCCCCACACCTCCTCCCTCACCCCCATCCCAGGCCCCAAGAAGACTTTCCACATCAAGCAGATGTTCACCTGCACATCTGCTAATGTGGTATACTGCATCCGCTGTACCGTTGTGGCCTCCTCTACATCGGGGAAACCAAGCGGAGGCTCGGGGACCACTTTGCAGAACACCTATGCTCGTTTCGCAATAAACAACTGCACCTCCCAGTCGCGAACCATTTCAACTCCCCCTCCCATTCCTCAGACGACATGTCCATCCTGGGCCTCCTGCAGTGCCACAACGATGCCACCCGAAGGTTGCAGGAACAGCAACTCATTCCGCTTGGGAACCCTGCAGCCCAATGGTATCAATGTGGATTTCACAAGCTTCAAAATCTCCCCTCCCCCTACCGCATCCCAAAACCAACCCAGCTCGTCCCTGCCTCCCTAACCTGTTCTTCCTCCCACCTCAAGCCGCACCCCCATTTCCTACCCACCAACCTCATCCTGCCCCATTGACCTGTCCGTCCTCCCTGGACTGACTTCTCTCCTCCCTACCTCCCCACCTACACTCACCTTTACTGGCTCCATCCCCACCCTTTGACCTGTCTGTTTCCTCTCCACCTATCTTCTCCTCTATCCATCCTCTAACCGCCTGCCCCTCTCTCCCTATTTATTTCAGAAACCCCTTCCCCTCCCCCATTTCTGAAGGGTCGAGGCCCGAAACGTCAGCCTTCCTGCTCCTCCGATGCTGCTTGGTCTGCTGTGTTCATCCAGCTCTACACCTTGTTATCACACATTAAGATTTGCTATCTTCATGTATTCAGTCATGCAACTAAATATCAGCTACTCACAAACAGAAAAACAATTTTTACTTCAAACCCTATTAACCAATACCAAAAAAGCCTAGAAAATTTATAAATGCATTGACTGAACTCTAGAGATAGATGTGCAAGACCATTACACATTTTCTATCATCGTTTTTCATTCCCCAATAAAAATGTTGTTACATACTGTTATCACTGTGACATAAAGGTTCATGATATATCATTATTATTATTTGGAAACTTGGGTTCTGAAGTGAACAGAACCAGGTATTGCTTGAAGTTTAATTTGTATTTATAGATCGTGTGCACTGAGGAGGAAAGACAGTTTCCCCCACCGCCCCCCCCACAGTGAAGCAGTACTAGGTTATGTAGTAATTCATTTGTGTGCATTTGAACAAGGTTTTTTAACATCCTTGAAGTGAACAGTTTAGTGTCTTAGAGAGAAAGCTAGAAGAGGGAAAAGAATCGGACTGCTGCTTTGCAACAAACATCCTAAGACACAGGGAGACGGAGACAGAAACAGAAACAAGTTCTTCAAAAAAGACAGAATCACCTTCAAAGCCATCAAGTGTGCAGGTTTCTTTCCAAGAAGGCGGCCATTTAGTAAGAATTGGCCTGACATTAGCAATACAGTTTAGCAATCCACAAAACTCAGGGCAGAAGTCCTGAGTGGATTCATTTCACTAAGAGAAAAGGTCCAGAAAAGGCTGTGGACAAAGAGTTTAAAATAATCCATGAGCTGTGTTAGCAGTTTAAGGGTCTCAGGAAGAGCAATAGCATCAAGTGAATGCAGAAACTGCCAGAAATAAACCTACTACAACCCTACGAACTGAACAAGGAACTTTAAAGTGGAAATAGGGTGACACTTCACTGGGTTTGATTAGCTGCAAGGTTGTTGCTCTTGAACTAGGAGGCATAGTCTGAGAATTAGGGCCAGATCATTCAAGAGATATTAGGACACACACACAAACCCAAAAGGTGATAGATGTTTGGAACGCTCTTCCACAAGCAGTTGTTGCTAGATCTGTTGTTAATTTTAAAATCTGAGATTGATAAATTTTTGTCAAGCAAAAGGTAGTAACCGATATTGTCCAAAAGGTAGGTATATGGAGTTAGGCAACAGATCAGCCATTACCTCATTGAATGGTGGAACAGGCTCAAGGGGCTGAATGACCTATACTTATTCCTAAGTTGATAAGAGTGAAAAGGGTTGAATCTTCATCTCTTATATTTGTTACATGACTATTTCAAATATTTTTGCAATGTTTTTGCATTGTGCAGTTTGTTTTGTTCCTTTGCGTTAAACGACATTAGCAGCCTCTTGTCAATATGTTCAGTGACTGACCACAACTTATGGCCTATCAAGTCAGGTTTCACTCGAGAGTCTGACTTATCCGGGATCTTGATACCACTGACAAAGATAGCCCTCAAATGACTCACCCAGTGCCTATTTTTCACACCAGTGGAACGAGAAGGGAGAAACAGCAGAGCTTTATCTAACATTCAAATATTCACCAACTCAAAATGGTGGCATCAATAAAATGCTCAGCAACTAATCAGAGATCTAATTTCTTGCATCTCACTTAGAATTGGTGGTCCACCACCGATGGATTAAAAATGATACCACAATTACCCTCATCGTAGGATGAAATGCATTTTATGCATCAACCTATATTATGCTCAACAGTATGTTATTACTCAGTCAACCTAGCAATCAGGTTCCAATGAGGAATTTCTTGGGACAAATATCATCCTGCTCTGGCTGCTGATATCTGGAATGGACAACTGCCACTGCTTTAATAAAACTGCAAGATCAAGAAGATACAATAACTTATTGGCTGAAAACAATCCATGGTATGGAATCAAACTACAAACACCAAAACTACATTAAATTGCTAGCTTCTGCCAGGGTGGCTATTCTTGGTCAAGGTGGCACACAGTAGGTTTGGTTAACTGAGGAATGAAAGAAGTCTGTTGTAATATACTACTTTAAAAAGACTCTGAACTCTATTTTGGTATATACATAAAGCACAATTGCGGTGATGAGCTCAGGGCTTCCAACACTCATGGAAATCCACTCCAGTTCAGCTTTGCAGTGGGAGGAGAAAGTGGAAAGCATTTAAGGATCAAACACACAAAATTATATACATCACTTTAATGCTATCATCTCACTTTCTTAATTGCGCTGCTCTTTTGAATCACTGTCAGTTGTGTTAACGCTAGTTAAGTTAGATTGTAGGACCACTTACAGCACGTTGCAACAATTTCCAGCGTTCCGTTGCATTTCGTGCTTTGTCAAAATCCATTTGCAATCCCTCATGAAACTGTGCACGGCTGTTAAAGAAAATATCTCCATCATCTCATATACATATTTGAACAAACTTTAAATCATGTGAAAGTATAAAGGAAACAAATTAAGCTTATCACCAGATCAACTCTTATAAGAAACTTAACATGCTGCTCCTTGGCAATTTTGAGAATGAAGCTGTTGGGCAACGCTAATCTAAGAAGTTGCTGTGTTGACATTAACTGGGTCAACTTGCCCCAGTATTTTACAGCAGTAATCTAAACTGCATTTTGGCATCTTTTGTGGTCACACTATAAAACCTGATGTATCAGTCAGATCTTTGCGCATGTACATACCTTCTAAATCCTAACCGTATTATTGAAATAGCACTATAAAATATGGGTTCAGTTTAGAGAAAGCAAAGTTCTTTTTAAAAAATTCAATTAATTCTTTGAACGTGGGTGTACACTGGTGTGACAGTGAAGTCAAAAAAATAAGTCCTACAAGGATGGCAGGTTTCCTTTCCTGAAGGAAGTGAATGAATCAGTTTGATTTTTTCCCCCTCCCAACAACTTCATGCTCACTTACTCATACCAAATAGTCATTCGCAGGTTTTGCTGCCATGATGGGATTTTAACCCGTTCCAGGTGGAGAGATTTACAAGACCAACAAAAATCATTGAACACACATACAGACAAAACAAAAACTCCAGGAGATGGAAAAGTACAGCCAAGAATTAACCTATTAATTGACTGGTGAGTGAAGTTTTGAAAAAAAACAAAAAACATTTGCTTGAGATTTGAGAATTCCTTCAGAGTTCAGCATTAGCAAAAAATCCTTCACTCTTACACCCATTCTCTCTTGGTTAGGGAGACTGTGGTGTCTTGTTTAAAGAATGCAATTATATAAAATTTATTAAAAAGAGAAGTAACACCAAGACCCAAAAAGAAGTTCAAATGTCACAAAACAATTTAAGGAAATTTTCTTTTCAACCTGTCATGGGTTAAGGATGTGAATTTTTGAGTTTGAGGTGAAGAACATACAAAATAGGAAAAGTAGACCATTTGGTCCCTCAAACCTCATGTTTTTGAATTCCAAATTGTCATCTAACCCGATAACCTCGGATTCCCCTGCAAACAAGAATCAATCTTCCTCTGTCCTATAAATATTCAATGACACTGTCCCCCAAATCCATCTGTCACTTCCTTATCTTCTTACAATGTATTTTCCTACCCAACTTGGAGCTGCCTGTGAATTTAGCTACCATGTCTTCACTACTCTTACCTAGGTCATTGTAAAAAGTTGAGGTTGTAACACAAACCCCTGTGGGATTCCAGTCCTCTCATCCTGCCAATCAGAAAGAGAGACTCATTTATGCATAGTTTGCTGCCAACAAAAATCAGAGTTAACGTTTCGGGTCCAATTACCCTTCTTCAGAACCTGAGGAAGGGTCACTGCACCGGAAATGTTAACTCTGATTTCTCTCCACAGATGCTGCCAGACCTGCCGAGCATTTCCAGCAACTTCTGTTTGTGTTCTTGATTTACAGCATCCGCAGTTCTTTTGGTTTTTACAACTCTAAGGTTTTGGAGTAGATCTGTAGCTCGGGTTGTGGGTGTTGAGGTTGGTTGGCTCGCCCGCCGAGCTGGTTTGTTGTTCCGCAGACGTTTCGTTACTGTGCTTGGTAACGTCCTCAGTGCAGCCTCTGATGAAGCGTCAGTGTGTTTTCCTGCCTGGTTTTTAAACTCTTGGGTCCGTTGTGATGGATTGCCTCACTCTCTATGATTGATTCTAACACAGTCATCACAACAAACATCAAGCTGACTGGCCCATTGTCTCCCTCTCTTCTTGAGTTAGAGAGTTTCTACTTGCTACTTTTCAGACCATTAGAACTTTGCCTGAATTTAGAGAACTTAGCACCAGGGAACACTACATTAACAACATATCCGTAAGCTCATTACCCACGAATTTTCACATCCAAAGATGAAATTATCTGGACTCAGACTTGCCAGCCCACAGCTCAAACAGTTTGCTCAGTAGTGCTTCCCTCTTGATAACAATTTTGCCAACGTTTCCTCCTTGCATCTGTTGATTTGTAGCTATTACTGGAATTTTTGTTTTATATCCTCTATAAATGAAGATAGAAACAAAACGTTTTTTCATTCACCATTTCCTGATCATCTTCTAATCCCATTCTCACTCTTTAACAGGATCAACACACATCATTTGCTTTTTTTCTTTATTAAGTATGTAGAAACACTTATCTGTTTTACGATCCTAGCTCACTTCCTTTTGTACTCTAATTTCTTCCTCCTAATTAATCTTTAGGTCATTCTCTGCCATTCTTGATATTTCTGAGCAATCATCCAAACTGCCACTTACCTTTGCAGTTATGTTCTTTCTCCTTTAGTTTGATGCTTCCTAAACTACTTTAGTTCGCCATGGATGATGGGTCCTCCCTTCAGAATTTTCCTTCATAGTAGGAGTATGCTTAATCTGAGAATTCTGAAATAGTCTTTAATATCTGCCACTGTCTCTCTACTCATCTATCTCCCAGCCAATTATGGCAGTTCACCTCAGCTCTCTCACCCATTCTGTTGGGGCTAATCAGGTTCAAGACACTCGTCTTGAACCTGATCTTGCCCCTTTCAAACTGGACAGGAAATTCCAACATATTGTGGCTGCTGTTACCCAGGGCTGCCATAACAGTGATTATTAATTAATCCCATGACATTACACATATCAAGTCTAGTATAAATGTTTTCTGGTCAGTTCAAAAATATGCTGCGTCAAGAAACTCTCTTAAAAGCATTCTATGAGCATCTCATCCAGGTCACCATTACCAATCTGATTTTTCCACTTTATAAGATTAAAAAGTCACCTATGATTACTGTCCTTTATCACAAGCACCCAATATCTCTTCTTGTATATTTTGTCTCCCATCGTTAACCTAGCTTTCTATTTCTCTTGAATATCACATACCCCTCAATATTCAGGACCCAAACCCGGTCATCCTGAAACCATGTCTCTGTAATGGCTATCAAATCATATTTATTTACACAATGTGCAATATCAGTTAATTTACTTTATCAATCCTGCACATATTCAGAAAGTGCTGTGGAATTTAATGAGACATCACCTCTTAGAACATAAGCAGGCCTAGCAGTCGGAGCAATGCCAATTTGAAACAGAACAAAACTATCTAAATTTATCATCCATCAGAACTCATGAATAATTTGTCAATAAATAGCAGAGTGGCTAGATGTCATCTAGAATCCAACACACATTATTAATTACATAAGGGGAACAGGTAAGGTAGATGAAGAAAAGCTATTTTGGCTAATTGAGAAGTCTAGGACGAGGGGACACAATCTAAAAATTAGAACTGGATCTTCAAGTAGTGAAATGAGGAAACAATTCTGCACGCAAAATGTGGAAGATTGAAACTCTCTTCCACACACAGCAAATGATGATAGGCCAAGAGTTAATTTTAAAACGAGCATAGATTTTACTTAAAAAGTATCAAAGAATATGGGGGCATTAAAAAAAAAGTTGGGAAAATGGAGTTGGGCAACAGGCAAACCATGATCTCACCGCACTATGGAACAGATTAAATGGCTGACTAATTCCATATTAAATGTGCTTAATGTTGAATCAACAGCACTGACGCAATCATGACTCGTGGCACTGCAACTTAAACTGCAGGTCTATTTCATCCAGGTTATTTACTAGCCTCAAATGTGAAGTGATTCACTTTATTTGGAAGAACACAAAGCGAAGATGAAAGGAAAGGTATAATTCTAAGTGGGTGTGTATGAGCTGAAGGACCTGGATACGTATGTATATAAAGGTGGCAGGACAGCTCGAGTGTGTGGCAAATAAAACATACAACATCCTGGACCTCATTAATAGAAGCATGGAATTTGGAGCAAGATGTTAAACTTGCATAAAATACTAGTTTGGCCTCAACTTTAGTAGTTTGTCCAGTTCTGGGCACCACAGTATAGGAAGGATGCAAAGGCACTAGATGGAATGCAGAAAAGATTCAACAACGTCTCACGGATGAGGAACAGTTACAGAAATTAGGCAAGTTGGGACTGACATCTTGAAGAGATGGTTGAGAGGAAATTAGATAGATGTATTCAAAAATCAAGACAGGACTGGGGAGAGTAGGTCAGGAGAAATTGTTCTCAAAGGAAGGATCGAGAACTAGAGGGCACATTTAAGGTGATTAGCAAAAGAAGCAATGGCAACACGATGAGAAACTTTTTCATACAGCAAGTGGTTAGGATTCATGGTGGATCAAAGGTTTTAAGAACAACTGGATTATCTGTAAAGAGACAATGTGCTGGATTACAGGGAGAAGTTGGGGAAGTGGCACCATGTCAGTTGCCTATGTGGACAGCCAGCACAGACAAAAATGGGCCAAGTTGCCTCCTCCTAAGCTGTAACAATCCCGAGATTCTGAAAAGACAAATTACTGTACTGGACTAGATCAAAGTACAAGCCCAGGGACAGGAAAGCAAAATTGAGATATTAATCCAAGAAACCTTTTACTAATACCAATTCAAAAAAGAAGTTAAAAAAATGGGAACCATAGATTCATCAAACGTTGCTAATTCCAATGAAAGGATATCATCAGGAACCAGAGCTAAGACCTTCTGCCAAGTTTCCTTACAGCCAAAGAGGTCTTGTTTGTTCAGAGCGTAGTCTTCAAAATAGCTATCAATCACTGTGATAGATTCCCTACAAATGGAGCAAGAACAATATAGTTAGCAATCAGATTGTTCATCAATAAATCACTCCACTCTCCAGATCACTCTGCGTCACAAGCAGAAAATTACTTGCGTAGATCTGAGCTTCCAGTGTCAAAGCACCAAGTTCAGCACACTGCTAATCGTTATCAACTACTTTAGTCAGAACCGTAAATTAAAGATTCAGCATACAAACCCATTAATCTAACCTGTGCTCCCTACAAATTTCACTCATTCAATCGCAAGATGGCTAGCATTAATAGAATACATGTTTTACAAAGCCTCTGACTTACCGAGCAATACTGCTTGCACTGTATAACATAAAAGCTTTATGCGTGCATAAAGTCCAAGAAAACAGAAAAACAAATGTGGGAGCCACAACATCCAGTCTCATAATTACCACAAAACTAAGGTTTTGATCAACAGCCTTGAATAAATTTGTCTTTGAACTCACCCAGTGGTTAATCAAATGTAAAAGCACATAGTTTTAATAGGCAATGCATAGTTTTAAATGATATAATGGCCTCATGCTTGCATGCGTGATCAACTACAGATGGATACATTCAAATGTCTTATAAAGACTTGCATTTGCATAGCACCTCTCACAACCTCAACACATCCAAAATGCTTCACTGCCAATGGAGTATTTTTTGGTAGTCACAGCAACAACACAAGGAAATCCAGAAGCCAATTTGTACAAGGCAGGAGCCCACAAACACCAATGAGATAATGATCAAATCTGTTTTTCTCATGTTGATTTTAAGGATGAGTATTGGCAAGGTCACCAAGGATAAACTTAGTTGCTTTTTTGATTAGTGCCATCAGATCTGTTGCATCCACTCAGAGGGCAGTTTCAATGTTTTCATCTCAAAGCAATTACCTCCAATAATGTAGCTGAGATTGTGCTTAAATATCACTTAAACACATGACCAGGAAAGAATGAGATAAGACATAGTTTATGATTAATCCATAAAACGTGGGTAGTATCTTAAAATGACATGCAATGAAGCCATTTTTTAAACTCCAGTGTACTCACTGAATAGAAGGATGAATGGGACTATTCAGGTGTACTTTCTTGATTGTATCCGTTCCACCCTGTAAAACAGCCAGTGACATTTGGCATTACAAAACAGATGGCAGAACGGGTACATGCTATCTTTTCTCTAAAAGACCAATTAATCTCATGGCTTAGAAGATACCTACCTTGACGACACTCAGGTACTCTGCAACAGCAGACCGAGCTGCCTGGGAAAGCTTCCGCGCATTATCATCACAGACCCAGCAATGGACCCCTCTTCGGCCAGAGTATACCCAGAGCCGGTGTTGAAACCCAAAGTCCTCTGTGATGCAAACAAAGAAAACTTGCATTATATAGAATGTTGAGTATCTGTGAAATTTAATTTCAGAATACATGCATCACTGCATTTCTATTACTAAAGTAACACCATTGTATTTTAAAAAGGGGATTTAAAAACTCTCTCTCTTTTACTACCAACTTTCCTTCAAGAGCAGTATTGTACATTAGATCCAAACTATTGTGCAACAATTTGATTGGATATTGTGTGATCCATATCAAGTTATTCTGAACAGGACACTTATTGCTGGTGGTCATTCATAGTCTCAGCATCCAGGGAAGCACTACGTTGAGACTTCCACATAGGAAGAGACAAGTCATTCCAACAAACTTCACGTCGAGCCCAGTCAGAACGAGAGAACATGATGTTCCTGTCTCTCAACTTCAGGCAAACAATAAAGATAATTATACAAGTGGCCAACCCACTTCTGGGACGGGTTTTTTGAAAAAAATATTCTTTCACAGGATGTGGGCATCTCTGCCCATCCCTAATTGCTGAGAGGACAGTTGAGAGTCAAGCACATTGCTGTGGGTCTGAAGTCACATGTAGGCCAGACCTGGTAATGATGGCAGTTTTCTTCCTGATAGGACGTAACTGAACCAGATGGGTTTTTCCTGACAACTAACAATGGATTCATATGGACCAGACAAACCAAAGACTCAATCTATCCTCAGGTTGACTCAGTTTAGTTCAAGCAGCAGTCAGCATGTTACAATCTAACCTTAACGCTCTGGGAGAAAGGGGAGAAAACAACATTAAAGAATGCAAAACAGAGTTCAAGTTTCCAAACATTACCCATGAACTCCTTTGGAACATGAGATGCGTGGTCCATTAGCTCACAGACACATGCTCAAGAACAAAGACAGATAAGCCAAGAATCAAAAGGTTGTCGCGCACTGTGGAGCCATAGCTCAGAACAAATCAGTACTTTTAGCAGAGAAGAATTGAGCAAAGGCAGGAAGCAGAATTACTGGAGGGGAAAAATACAACGCAATTTTACCTTCCAATGCTCTGTCCAGAATCTTGATAGCAATGGTCATTAGTGTCCAGCACTTGTGGCAAATATCTGCAGAGCTAAAAAACACAAATAACTCAACAGAATTCTTCTGAATAATTTTGGATACTGTCATTATAAATATACAGGCTTTGACTGTTATCTACATGAGATATTCAAAAAGTAACGTGCAAGAGCAACAAGCCCAGAGAACCCTGGATGTCTCAGAATATTCAGTTCTGGAAAAAAAAAAAAAGACTTTTAGTAGATACAAAGGAAGCAAACCAATGAAGGCCCTCAGTGTATATAAAGTGCAAGGGGAACATCATAAAGCAATTGGGAGAGCCAAGAGCGGGGCATGGAAAAACACTGATGGGTAAGATTAGGGAGAATCCCAAGAAATTCTAAGTATATTCAGGAGAAGAGGATAATTCAGGAATGAGAAGGGCCCCTTAGGGACCAAGACGACAACCTGTGTATGCAGCTGGAAGACATTGGTGAGGCGTTAAATGAGTACTTCTTATCTGTCCTCACTCAGGAGGAGGATAGAGCTACAGAATTTCAGAAGAGGAACGGAGAGGCTCTTCAGCAGGTTGGCGTAGGGAATGAGGAGATATCGGAGGTTTTGGTGAGCTTAAAAGTGGACAAATCCCCAGGTCTGGATGAATTGTATCCCAGGCTGCTGTGGGAGATGAGAGAGAAAATTACAAGGGCTCTGACCTAAATTTTTAATTCCTTTCTGGCCACAGGGAAGTGCCAGAGGACTGGAGGACAGCTAATGCAGTTCCACTTTTCAAAAAGGGGCCATAGAAATAAACCAAGGAATTACAGACCAG